TTTTTTTTTTTTTTTCTAATGTATCACAATTTTGTGGGTCCAGAATTGGAGCAAGACTGAGCTCGCAAGGATGGCTGTTGGTGTTGACAAAGATCATTTGTTGGTACTCAAGTGGTAGATGCGCTGGTCTAGAGAGTCTAAACCCATCATTCATTCATGTCTGGCACTTAGACAAGGATGACCAATTGGAATGCTGGCCTTAGCTGGGATTGTAAACCTGAGTGCCGACATGTAGTCTTTCCAGCTTAGCAGTCTAAGCGTTAATGGACTTACATGGATGCTCAGGACTCTCAGAGATTGTTCCAAGATTCCCAGGCAGATGCTGCAAGCCTTATGATCTAATCATTGGGGTTCTAGAACACCACCTGCCATGTGCTGTTTGTTAAGCAAATCATTAAGGCCAGCCCAGATTTATGAGGAAGCGAATTGGACTTCACCTGTCAGTGGGAGGAGTGGTAAAGAATTTGTCAACCTACTCAGTTTACGAGGCTTGACTTAAACCACCTTTGTGAAGACTTCTTTAATAGTTTTGTATTACATGTTCCCATAACACCTTGTCTCATAATAGGTTTATAGTCACATAGTAGGTTTCTACTACATATTCACCTGGTATGTGTCATTTTACACTTAACATCAAGCAGTTTTATATTCTCAGTGTCGAGTTTCACAGCACCATTCCTGATCTATCATGTAGCTACTTTGGTTGCAAGAAGGCAAAGGTGTCTTACTGTGTGATTTTTGATACTAAAGTAGTAGAAAAGACCAACATTTTAATCCTTTATTTTTTTGAAAAATTAGTAGGCAGGATGTTCAGGTGTTCAAGAAACTTTTCCCTTTCCATGAATCTGACCTGGATATAGATGAAGAGCTATTAGAGGTGCATACGGAAGATGGTTTCCATTGTGCCTGACTCTGAAATACTCTTACTGCCATTACCTTTGGTACAATATTTTAGCATGTTGATTCTTAAATGAAGATCAGAGTCCATGTTTTTTAAAGGTAAGAATGACTGGGGCACTTGGGTGGCTCAGTCAGTTGGGTATCCTACTCCTGATTTCATCTCAGGTCATGATCCCACAGTCATGGGATCAAGCCCTATGTTGGGCTCTGAGCTGAGCATGGAGCCTGCTTGGGATTCTCTTTCCCTCTGCTCCTTTCCCTCCTCATGTGCTGTATTCTCTAAAAGTAAAAAATAGGGAGCTCCTGGGTGACTCAGTTAAGCATCCGACTCTTGATTTCCGCTCAAGTCGTGATCTCATGGTTGGTGAATTCAAGCCCTGCATCGGGCTCCATGCTAACAGTGCAGAGCCTGCTGGGGATTCTCTCTCTCCCCCTCTCTTAACCCTCCCTGCTCCTTCTCCCTTCTTCCTTCCCTTTCTCTCTCTCTCTCCCAAACTTAAAAAATAAAAATTTAAAAAATTTTAAAAAGTAAGAATGATTATATACAGTCATTTCTGTATTCTGTGTAATATATTTTACATGCTATTTAATTTGTTGGGGCAGTGTCAAAAGGTAATGTGTTGGGTGCTAGGGCTGGCTTGTTCCTAGACTTTAAAGGTTTTTGTTTGTTTTGTAACATTTATTTTGAGAGAGAGTGTGTGCATGCAGGTGGGAGAGAGAGAGAGGGAATCCCAAGCTGACTCCGTGCTGTTAGTACAAAGCCCAACCTGGGGCTCAAACTTACAAACCATGAGATCATGACCTGAGCTGAAGTCCAATGCTTAACGGACGGAGCCACCAGGTGCCTCTAGACTTTGTAAAGTTTTACAGAAACAATTACCCTTTTAAATTCTTCATCTGTAAGTTGTAGTAGCAGACATTTGTCCCTTTTGGCTGTTCAGCATCTAGATTCCTTAAGTTTGGGGAATCCCAACTTTAATGAGCCTTGGAGACAAAGCCCATTTCCCCCATATAAACCTGAAAATGCCAGATGCATGTTTTCCCAGGCTCCCTTGCAGCTGGGGAGATGGCACATGATATAGGCTTGACCAATCAGATGCACCTACCCCTGACTACTCAAATCAGTGATGCAAAGAAATAGGGATAGGAGAATCCATTCCAGTAGTAGGTGATGGCAGCTGTGGCAACAATATCAAGGGGCAGTCTGGCAGCAGTACCAGTCCTTCCCACGTCAGTTTCTAGCTATGGTGGCTAGAACCCCATGGCAGCAATGGTGGACTCACTGGACCATTTCTGAATCATTCTGGCCACCATGGCTGTAGCTGCTTAGCCTCAGCCTGGATCATCAGCCCTTCTGTGAGCCACCCTATATAGGATACATTTCGTTCTACTTAAATTACCCTATGTGAATTTCCAATATTTAAGAACTGTGACTAGTAGCTTTATTTCCTAAAACAATCTTGAATTGCAAGAAAGCTTATCTATTCTAGAACTTGTTGCATTGCCATTATTTGCCCATGTATCTCTTCCTTTGCTCCTTTCAAAGACAGGGAGCACGCTCCACTGTGTATTTTCACTGTTTACTAAAATGCCCCATAGTTTTGAATGAATGAGAGTGGTGGAAGATGACAGTAGAGAATTAGAACATGCTGTTTGGAGAGGACCTTGATAAATGGATGAAAAGATTAGCCATAAGGAATCATTAAAGATGGTGATGGGGTACCTGGGTGGTTCAGTCAGTTAAGCATCCAACTCTTGATCTCAGCTCAGGTCTTGATTTCAGGGTCGTGAGTTCAAGCCCCGTGATGGGCTCTGCACTAGGCACGAAGCCTACTTGCAAAAAGTGATAATAATTTAAAAATGGTGAAAGGAAATGCCATCAAAGTGGGATTGGAAGATTAAAGTAGAAATAGGGAAGGGCACCTGGGTGGCTCAGTTGGTTAAGCGTCGGACTTCGGCTCAAGTCATGATCTCATGGTTCATGGTTTGAGCCCCACATCAGGCTCTCTGCCATCAGTGCGGTGCCCACTTCATATCCTGTTTCCCTCTCTCTGCCCCTGTCCCCCGCACCTTCAAAAATAAACATTTAAAAAAAGTGAAAACAGGAAAAAAGTGGAGAGTAGGGTGGGAGATCAGAAATGAAGCTGATGGCACAAAAACAGACACATAGACCAATGGAATAGAATAGAAACCCCAGAACTAGACCCACAAACGTATGGCCAACTCATCTTTGACAAAGCAGGAAAGAACATCCAATGGAAAAAAGACAGTCTCTTTAACAAATGGTGCTGGGAGAACTGGACAGCA